GGGAAGGCTGAGAAAAACCGGGCTAGAGTCCGGGAAGCCAGAACCCAGGTGGTGAAGTGTGGCTGTCAAGGCATAGAGAGGGGACAGTAAAGGGGAAGGCGCTGGTCAGGGTGTGGAAGCAGACAGACAGCAAGCTCAAGGTCAGGCTGAGCTGCATACATAGAGTCTCAGGCCGTAGTCTACGCTCCCCCATCCTCCAAAAGGAATCACGGTGTGGGCACGTGGCTTGGCTGCTCTGCTACCGTCTGGATTCAAAGCAGAACTTCCTAACACTTCCGGCTTTTCCTGATTCTCTTTTCCCACCTCACTCTGTCCAAAAGGCTGAGCAATGATACTCTGCTTTCTTTTCCGTATCTACTAACTTGTTTTTGTTGTTGGTTTTGCTTCTAGCTGGAAAGAGGGTTTAAACTAAATCTTAGCCAGCCTGTGCCCTTGCTCTCCGACTTGAAGCAGATTCCTGATCTTCCCAAATTTCAACGGCCAGTCTTGGAGTTATTAATTGAAGACAAAAAACCCAACATTTTCAAAACATTGGGGTACGTAGTAGAACAATATGGGGTATGTAGTAGAAGTAAACTTTCGGTGATAAGTGGTACCCAGTGTTTTATTTTTGTGATTAAAAATATTTTAGTTCTACCAGAGGGCTTTCCTTTCCCCACAGTTATGATATGATAGAAGAAGAGTGTGGATGCACTTATTTCCTTAGCGAATTCAGCAAGGTTTATTGTTTTGTTTGAGACAAGGTCTCACTGTATCCTCTTGGCTGACCTGGAATGCGCAAAGATCCTCCTGTCTCTGCCTCCTGAGTGCTGGGATCAAAGCTATGTGCCATCATGCCTGACTCAGCAAGGTTTATTTACATATATTTCTACTCAAATATTTAGCATTTAATTTTGAGTTCCTTTTTTAAAAAATGAAGCAAGGTGGCTTAGCAGATAAGTGTGTTCATTGGGCACGCCTCTGGGTCTAAGCCCACGTTCCAGGACACACACAGAGGCGGAAGGAGACAACCAAGGCCGCCACAGAGTTGCCTCTGGCCACCACCTTGTCCTCCCTCGACCAACCCAGGACCTCTTTCTCTTAATAAAATAAAGGGTTTGTTTGCTCATTTTTTTTTAAACTCCTGGGCCAGAGAGATGGCTTAGCCTTAGGTGAAGGCACAGGCTGCCAAGCCTGACCCCAAGAGTTTGATTCCTGGGACTCAGGGAGAGAGAACCGAACTGTCTGCCCACCGCTAGTGTCCTCTGACCACCACGGCACATGCGGCACATGTAAAAAACATTTTAAAAAGCTGAATCCTCCTAAGAAACAGATTACTTAAAGAATATCTAGTAAACTTTCAAGCATTGACACGTTTCTTTGTACCTCCTTCTCCCCTTTCTCTCTGTATTTCTCAGTCTCTCTGTCTTTTGTAAGAAGGCAAAAGCTTTGGAAGGAAAAAATACATGGTCTGTGTACTTTACGAGGCTAAGAAAGTAGCTTGAAAATGGATGACTAGTCGTAAGGGTGGTTTTGGTAACTGTATGGGAAAACCCTGCTTTCCCCATGCCTCTTTCCAGTGGCTACAGCTAAGGCTCCCCGGTGCATGGGAGGGCAGTTCACCGGTGCAGGGAAGAGGAGGGTGAGATATGTGTGTTTTGATTAGCTGTGGAGCTCAGAGGAGCTTTATCCTTTGCCTAACGCCTTCTGACTCTACAGAGAGCAAGCTCAGCTGGAGGCCATCTGGAATGCTGACCTGTCCACTTCAAGCTACCCGATAACGGAGAAGACATCTCTGAATACGCTCTGGGCCCAGCTGGGTGGCTACCCAGATATTCCCAGACTGCTGGAGTTAGATATTCAGTCGACCTTCAGAAAATCTCTTGCTTCCATCCGGTCAAAGTGAGTAAAGGTTTGGGTACTCTGGTAACTGGGTCTTGGGTCCTACCTTGACTTTCTTCTGTAGCCAAGGTTCCCTGCACACGCGCATATGGGCCTAGGTAGCTACACCATGCATGCATATAGATTACATGACCGTGCAGCACACAGATTAGTAGGACATAAGGCCCTAGGATGACTAAGCATCTTGCCTGGCTACTAGACAGCACATATGTGGTCATGTAGCTGGGGGAGTGGCTAGGAATTCTAACATTTGGGAAGCAGAGGCAAGAGAATTTACATGAGTTCAATGCCAGTCTAGGCTCCATAGCAAGACCTTGGCTCAAGAAAAAAACAAAACAAAACAGAGTTGGGGATAGAATGCTTGCCCAGCATATGTGAGGCCCTGGATTCAACCCTCAGTACTGGGCAAGAAAACAGAGTCTCTCATAGAAGGCTGGCGATGTGTCTCAGCTGTGCTTGCTAGTGTGCCCTAGGCCCTGGGTTCCTCTTACTGCACAGCAAAACAACAATAAATAATGTATACAATGTAAAAACACGTATCATAGCATATGCTCACTATCCCAGCCCTCAGCAGGCTGAAGTAGGGGATCAAGACTTTGAGGCCAGCTTTGTCTGCACAGTGAGAGCCTGTCTCAAGGGCAAACACGGAGGCTGGGCCAGGTTCAGCTGGTACAGTGCCCTCACGCCAATAGAGAACCTGAGTTCTATGGGTGTTACCCATGTCTGAGTGAGATGGATGCAATCATTTACCTTCTTTCACTAAAAGAACAAGATAGGAGCGTCACAGAGTCCTGGTGAAAGAAACATCCCAAAGCAGGACTTAACTGTCTAAAAAGATGTGTAATCTACATTGCTATTCAATTGTTTTGACAAGAAACAAAGGGATTCCTCTTTCAAAACAAAAAAACAGAAGACAGCCTAGTTTGGGTTCCTAGCACACAAGTAAAGAAGCTGGACACAGACCGCAAGTCTGTAACCCCAGCACTGGGAGGGAGGGTGAGACAGTCAGATCTCGGGAGACTTCGGCTCACCAGCCTATGAATTGCTGAGCTCCAGGCTCATTGAGAGACGCTGTGTCAGATAAGGTGGCGAGTGATCAGGAAGACACCCGATCACCCGTCTCTGGCTCCACACG